GTTTGTGTGTGAGTGTGTGCGTGTGTGTGTGTGTGTTTGTGTGTCTGTGTGTGTGTGTGTGTGTGTGTGTCTGTGTGTATTTGGTATTCTCTACATTATGAGGACCAAATGTCCCCATTTTGACCTCGTGGGGACAATTTTTTTTGGTCCCCATGAGGAAAACAGCTTTTTTTATTATTTTTTTTATTTTGTGATCCCATTCACTGGAACGGAGGCTGTTCAGATAAAAATGCAGGGCCGGATTAACCATATGGTGATTTGGGCACCATGCAGGGCCGTATAAATGTTCTCAACTAGCATGAACTGTAATACTTAGTGGAGTATGGTATAACTACCCATATTAACCAGCCAAACTTGACCTCTTGAGCTGGACTGAGATCCGATCATAAATTACTACAATTATGTGCATTAATTTGTTTGCTTTCTAAATGCACAGTAAATCACATAAAGTTGTATTAAGATCATTTTTCATTAAAAAAATCAGACAAATACTTGTCATATCTGATTTTCCTGCACCTCCTCTTCAGCTCCTCCAGAAATCAGGGCTCATCTTTCTCCCCCGTGTCTTCTCCTTCTCCCTCTCTCTCCGTCTCTCCTCTGCTGAGTCTGAATCTCAAGCAGAATGTAGGTCAGCAGTCGAGTTACCAATCAGAAACAGCTGTGTTTGTTTTTGTCCATAGAGTGAGCGGAGGTCAGCGATTTCTGCTTTCTGTCTCATTCTTCTTGTTGTTTCCCTCTGACTTCTTTCCCCTCTCTCAGTTCCCAGTCTAAAAAAGTAACGTTTAGTAACCCTTTTCTCTGATTTATGATAATGATAACACCCCAGCTCTTTCTATCCTAACAATATGTATTGTTAGAAGGAGTAGGCCGGTTAAACCAAAATTAAAAATCTGTCATTATATGTTCAACTTCATGTCATTCCATTCACTGATAAAGAATCACAGCAGGTGAAATTTTACTAGTATAGCTCTTTTAAAAATCTTTAATCACTGAAGCCCTTGCTGACCTTAATGGACAGAATTTTCATTTTTGGGTGAACTGATCTTTTAATGAAAATAATAATAATAATAATAAGTTAACATACTTCTTCTGCTGACTTATGTTAACAACCTTGAGAAAGAGATTTTTTTTTTTTTTTTTTTTGTGACGTGCAAACTTAAACATTTGGTTTTGAACACTTGCTTTTCAAATTCTGCTGAATTGTTAACAAGAACACCAAGTTCTCACAAGAAGAAACATCTTGTGATAGCCATCATTTTGTAGCAAAAGGTTTTATAATATCTGTCATGGAATTACACTACAGCTATTAAATTTCCAGCTATTGCAAATAATTTGAAAAATATTTTTTATTTGCATATATATATATATTTTTTTTTTTCAAAATCAGACAAACCTATTTTAAATTATTTAAATTCTTTTTTAAATTTAACTGATCTTTTAATGAAAAAAAAAGTCAAAAACTGGGAAAATAATTGTTAACATACTCCTTCTGCTGACTTAACCTTGAGAAATAGATTTGTTTTTGTGACATGCAAATTTAAACATTTGTTTTTGAACACTTGTTTTTCAAATTCTGCTGAATTGTTTACAAGAACACCAAGTTCTTGCAATAAAAAAAATCAAGAATGACATGTGATAGCCATCATTTTGCAGCAAAAGGTTTTTATAAAATGTATACCTGTCATGGAATTACATTATAGCTATTACATTTCCAGCTATTTCAAATAATTTAGATTTTTTTTTTCAATATAAACATGCACGCAAAACGTTATTTTTTTACACTTACAAAATCAGAAAAACGTATTTAAATAATTTGTTAAATTCTTGTTTTGAAGCTCTAAAAAGTAGCCTCTTTAAAAACAAAAGTGCACAAGGATGCCGACCGCGCCCTAGACGTCTTTTCTATCATCAGCCAACTTCGCTGGTGTCATTTAATGATAAATACGAACTAATTAACACCTTACTTTTTAAACGTCAATAAGTGAGTTGCAGGAGTATTTGAATGTGATTGCAGCTCAGTAAACGATCAGAAACCTGACTCTCAAGAACATTTCCTTTCGCTGACTTCTTCCAGAGAGGCAACTTTGTCGCTGCCAGCATAGTTCCACAAACGAGGTTACAAGAAGTCACGCCCAACATTTCCGTCGTCCAATCAGCAGCTCGTATAGTGTTCGTCAGACCAATGAGCGATTTAGGGGTTGAGTCTCACGTACTGTTGCTAGGGCATGGCTGCAACATTGTTACTATCGCTGACTAACCAATCATGTGACATTTCGCAATGTGTCAACATCTTTCCTGTGAACTTCTCTCTTTGAAGTCTTTGATTGGATACAAATGTTTCTAGGTTCCGCCTTTCATACTTTTCTGTTGTGTGATTGGACGAAGAAGCCATCGATCGCTCTCCAGATTTTAGTTTACGTGCAGTTTGCATTAATTTTTGTTGAGAGTCTCTACGACTCAGAATAGAACTGTTCACATCGAGAGTCATCACTTTTTTGTTTGTTTTGTTTTGTTTCCTCCCTTTGTTTTGCACCATTTGTTAAACAGTGCACAATACGGTTTTTTTTGTATTATTTTTATTTCTGTAAATACATCAGGATGGAACTTAATTCTCTTCTACTTCTTCTTGAGGCAGCAGAGTATTTGGAAAGAAGAGACAGAGGTATAGCCTAATGATGTTTGTGTGGTCAACCCAAAAAATATTCTTTGTAATGTTTATATATTGTTGTTGCACTGGTCTAATGTCACTTATAAACCTGCCGGCTGAACAAGTGCATTTAATCCAAGCCCAAAAGCACGATGGCATCATAGTTATTGAGTCTATAATTATTCAATAATCAGAGATATCGGGCTTACGTGAATGCCATTCGTCCCAGCCTCTGTTCAAATGTGACTTCGTTTCATTTTCCGGGTGTTTGCTTGCTTTACAGTAAGCTGATAGAAGCATAATTGGTCAGATATGAAAACATATCAAGTGCCTAACTTTCTAACATTCCCATTTGCGTTGACTGAGTCCCACACGTCTGTATTTAATGCTGGTTTGTTTACTTTCTCACTAGAAGCTGAACACGGTTACGCATCGGTTTTGCCGCACGATAGCGACTTCTCCGGAAAGAAAACGAAATCATCTTCCATTTCAAGAAAACCCCACAACAATAGGTAAATGCAATACAGTGGCATTGCTATATTAATGGATGAATACATTCAAACGATGTTTATTCTTCATGCAATCGCCATTTTTGTTGTTGGGCTTGGCTGTGTATAAATATTGCCACGCGTACAGCGTTAACTCTCTGCTGCTTTCTTTCTCTTTTCCACTTCTGTCATCTCCCTTCAGCGCAGTCACTTTCACCTAGAAACACCACACTTTTCATTGACCAAGAACTTTTAGTTGTTTACAGACAGACGACTGGCAACGACTGGTACAATTTAAAGCATTTATCACACAGGCGCGTGAAGTGGCTTGTATGGAATTCGCTGGTTTCCCTAGAATGTTATATTTCAAGACTAAAGTTTGCGTGCATAAAATTTGTCCTGCATTGCATTTTGTTCATGCATTCTTGCATACAAACAGTAACTGTAGAATTAATGTGCATGTGCACAAATTGCCTCACTTTAACTTATTGTTGACTTTAACAAATGTAAGCATTAATGTGACACATGAACATGTCATAAGACAGTATGCATGCGTCTAGTAGTGCAGTTTAGGTGTGGTTAAACTCTCACTGTTGGGTGTGGTGTGAATAGACCCAAGTCAGCTGCTGGAGAGCTTTGACCCCTGGATCTGTTTTGCTGCATTAGCCTCCTTTCCTTGCAATGTCAAAGCAAAACAGCAGGAGCCTAGTGTGCAGCCCTTCCCCCACGTATGCATAGAAAGCACTGAAAAAAAAGGAAATCTATGGAATTAGGGCTGTCCAGGAAAGCTGTGTTTTACCTTTCCTTTTGTTTTTTACCTAAACTTACTTTGGAATACTATTTGAGAATTGCTTTCCAAATTGCAAAAACATCTGCTGACATTGTGGACTTTTTCTGACACCATAAATTCTGCACTAGCCTCAGATACTAACATCGTGCCTGTACTTTTAGCTGTCATGTGCGGCAATTTCATTATGCATTATAAGGGAAACGTGGCATCTTTATTTTTGCAATCCCGAATGATGACGCTAGTGGCGTAGAAACTGCATCCTGCAGCTTTGACATACAACAAACAACAACTGTTGCAATGACCCATATATTTTGTTTTTATCTTGCATGCATTACAGTCCTGTTTTGTTTGTGTTCGTTTGGAGGAAATGTAATTGCCCCATCGTGCACGCCAGCATTCATGCCCTGGATTAAAATAGCAATGCGTTGTGGCTTGTTGTGCTTTACTTACAGTGATATTGGCCTAGTAGACACAGTAAGGCGATGCAAAATTATTGTGTTTAATGTACAATCTAGAATTCAAAGCAGAACAGCATGTGGTGTGTGAAGGGGCCAGGGAGCACCAAAAGCATTTCATTCATACATTCATTTATTCATGCATTTGTTCCAAGTGAAAATGAGTAACATCTTGACCAAGTGGCAAACAAGAGTGCATGTGTGGTGCTAACAGACAAATGCAGCCCTTTGAGGTTCCTTTTGGAAAATTACATGAAGTACATCACCATTAATTCAACACAAGACTTACCCATGCATATTTTTTGAAAGGAGAAGTGCCTTTATTGCATCTTCTTTTAAAACATTTTTTTATTTGTATTTTTTACTTTTTTTAGGGTGTCTTGTTTTAAATTATATTAGGAATCGTTTTTATCCAGAAAGTACATTAATAGACATTTTTTTTAAAAAGTGGGAAATATTTTAATAAGATTATTTTCTTTTGTTTGTTTGTAAAAATAATATTGTTAAATAAATGCATGCAATTAATTGAAGTAATGTTATTAAATTATTTTAAATATAATTTTTGCCATGAATATAGCCTTTGATGCTGATATGGCATAACCTGATGAATGTTTATATAAATCACCATAAATTAATTAATTATATTATAGATTATAACAGCATCACTCTCATTAGAAAAACATCCTGTAACAGTTGTTCACTTCTGCCCCTTTTATTTATATTTTTAGTAAAGAGTCGGTGTGCTTCTTATTAATTTATTATTATTATTATTATTATTATTATTATTATTATTAGCTGAACTCATCTATGCTTTTGTTTATTTCCTGTTCAGGTCATCACATAATGAGCTGGAAAAACACAGGTAAGAATATACCCGACATTTAAGAAATGCCTTTGAGAGGGCTTTTTTAAGGATTTTTATTGCTTGGTGAGTGAAAAAGTTGATTTCAAACCCTGAAGAAAGAGGTGGCTGTAGTTGGTAACATTGCTAAATAAGAGTTAAAGTAAACTGGTTACAGTATGTCAGACAGTTTTGTGCTGTTTATGTTTGCGCCAGGAGTCGAGCGTGTTCTCATGTGTGAGATGTGTTTCCCGTGTGCTGCTGATATCTTGGAGTTTGCTTGTCACATGCTTGAGTTTGAGGAATTGATTACTGCTGCTCTGTGAGAAATATGTTCAGTCATGTCCTTCCTCAGAATGGAGCTTCTGAAGCATTAGGAAAAACAGGAAAACCATACAAGCAGGTTTATGACATACTTTTGAAAAGACAAATAGAAATACAAAGGAGAAAAACATTCTAATGTCATGCAATTTCCTGCAGCATCATATTTTTAGTTAATGCTTTTAAGTTATAATTAATCAAAGGTATGAGAGGCCATGCTATACTGTGAATATAGTCATATTGTGGCTGGAGATTGTTGCTCGAATGATGCACAGCCTTATTGATTTTTGAAAGTTTTCTAATTTATGTTTGTGCATGACTGAATGTTGAGGTTTGTCTACCTTATTAGCATTTTAAAGTAAAAACATTCAGATTGGAATTCAGACATTGAACAGTAAATCCAAAAAACTACATCTGAATTCAAAATTATGACAATTATTCACAGAGAACAATTATTTATACAAGGAAATGATTATGTTTTAATATGTATTCAAACAATAAATATATAGCATGGCAGAAAATTTTAAAAGTACTGAAATAACAGAAGGAGAAAACCAGTCTAATATGAAAACTAAAATATTGCTGAACTTTATTACACACACACACACTCTCTCTCTCTCTCTCTCACACTCTCACACACACACACACACACACACACACACACACACACACTCTCTCTCTCTC